GGCATGTATATATATTCCATGCCCATCAGTTTGGTGTTAATATAGACTTTATGTATTTTTTTTTAACAGTGATATATTTTTTCTGATATTTGTAGAGCAAAAAAATGGTACATGAATTTAATGTTGTATAATAAGGTTATATAATGATGGATTCATTAAAAAAAAAAACATTTGTATATCTTTGTGTTTGTTTAGTTACACTGACATTTGTAAGCTTTGAGTGAAATTTTTTTTATATATGTATATATATTTTTTTAGATATATGAACATTAAGCCAGTATTATAATTTTTCTAAATGTGTCAATATTACTTTAAAAAACTTACAAAGAACTGGTTAATTGCTACTGATAAGGTATTTTGTTCTTAAAATACTTATAATTATGAAATACATTGCTTCTCTTTGTTACAGATATATAAATGATCAATTCTTCATAATTACTGGTAGTAAGAATGTCCACATATTAATTAGAAATGCAGATGATATTGACAAGTATGAGGGAGAAAGATACTTTGTTGCTAAGGTATGAATTTTTAACAGTTGGAATGTTATTTTTCATTCTAAAAAGCATTATCCACTCTATGGCTAATGTTCATATTCTACATTGTTCAGATTTTTGTAATATGTATGTAAAACAACAACAAAAAAAAATCAGTGGCTATCTCAGAACCTGATTCAATACTTCAAGGAATGGCAAGTGCTGAAGCAATATTTTTAATCCGCAGCAAGTTGCAAGGGCTGTGTGCGACACCTTGAAAAGACTGGAAGAGAATCCTCGTCGTCTTGTGTACAGTTTCCTTCACCACACAAAATGTACTGCTGTCTGTGAGATTCTTCAGCCAAACTACCAGCATATAGTAAACCTGAGCTACCTGGAGGAGCCACAGCTGAATGTGATAACGTTTACTTCCACACTTAGTAATGAAAAGGAATCGAGTTTAACAGCATTGCCTCCTCACTACACTCTGGAGGTGTTGTCTCTTTTGGGTTTTCAGACACCATCATTTAGCACTGTATTACCTAAGGATATGGGAAGTCATCAACAGAAGGTGAGTTAAAGATGATGTAGATATAGATATGAATATAAGTATATGAATATGAGAATATATAGATTATTTGAAAATATATGCATATAAACATTTATATATACATTTATAAATGTACATGAATATATATGTATATGTATATATGTGTATACATATTATGTATATGTATATATGTATATGTGTATATGTATATATATGTATATTCATATGTATATATATGTATATTCATATGTATATATATATGTATATGGATATGTAATTATTTGTATGTATATGTATATATATGTATGTATATATAGATACACATGTATACGTGTATATATGAATATAAATATAAATATAAATATATATAAATACACACACACACACACACAACACACACACACACACACACACACACACACACACACACACACACACACACACACACACACACACACACACACACACACACACACACACACACACACACACATACACACACACACACACATACACATACACATACATGTATATAGTTTTTTTTTCCCTTTCCTTTCTATATCTATGTTTTTATATCAGTATGTATATCTATATGTATATCTATCTATCTGTCTGTCTATCTATCTATCTATCTATCTATCTATCTATCTATCTATCTATATATATATATATATATATATATATATATATATATATATATATATATATATATATATATATACATACATATATATACATACATACAGATAGTCCCCTACTTAAGAACATTCTACCTATGAACATTCCATACATACAAACAAAATTTTTTAAGTACTAAAGTCCAAAAAATTGTTTGAAAGATGCTAGCAAACTTCAAATTTCCCAGGTGCGAATATAGTTAAAGAATCTGGTACTGTAGAAGGTATGTCGTACTTATTGGGATTTATTTACAGGTATTCTTAATGTAAACAAAACTTTAAAACAATGGGAAAAAAGGTAATGGAGACCTGACTTTCGACATACAAACAAATCAACTTACAAACAGCCTCTCAGTCCCCATTATGTTCTTAAGTTGGGGACTTACTGTGTATATATATATATATATATATATATATATATATATATATATATATATATATATATATATATATATATATATATATATATATGTATTTTTTTCTCTTTTTCCTCGCATTTCTATATCTAAATCAATATCTATATCCATATGTATATATATCCATCTATCTATATATCTGCCTGCGGGGCTCCCAGGGGCTTTCCCCCACAAGCTTCATGCCAGGCTGGCGGCCGCCAGGACCCTGATCGGGTGACGGGTAACCCCTGTCTCCTACCCGAATCCCAGCGGTCACCAACCCAGTGGGACCCACAGCCCGCCTTACTTGCTGGGTGGGCTATATGTTTTGGTGGGCTCTATGTTTTGGTGCCAATAAGGTTCTCTCGGGGGGCCGACTGGCAAGACCTGCCTCCCCACAGCCGCCCATTAACCCCAAGGGGCACAGGGGCAGGAGTAAGTACGAAGTCAGGGCGTGTCCACACGCCAGTGGGCCATGACTCCATACCTTTAGGGCCACCTGCTGCTCCAAGAGCCTCCACAGCTCAGCCTAGGACCGCAAGGTGCCTAGTTTCCATGGGAGGCCACGTAGAGGCACTGCAGAAGTCTTGATGATGGAGAGGCTATGAGCTGGCAGGGGAGTCTTATGCATAGCTGCTCCCTTTTCGCACCAGGCTAGCCAGCGGTGGCAGCTATAAGCGAGAAGGCATGCAAGCACTTAACACTATCTAGGCTACCACACCATTGCTTCACATCACCCCGAGCATGAAGCACCCACCCATATATATATACATATATGTATATTTATAATATATTATATATAGTATATATTTATGTATATGTGTATATATAATAATTATGTATATTATATATATAGATATATGTAAATATATATATATATATTTCTTATACATAGTGTATAGATATTTTGCACATGTCTGAAGAATATATATTTGAAATACTAACACAAATGTATATCCACAGGTCAAAAGGTTGTTAAACAGTGAAGGAGAAGTGCTGTATCACATAACTGATAAAGGAGAGACCATTGGAATGGCGAAGGTGAAGAGCATGTGGTATGTCATGATGAGAGCTTTGAGAGAGAAAGCCATCTTCTGTTTTCTGGGGGCGAAGCGAAGGCAAAACTGGTCTTTGGAGAGCATGATCAGATTGACGAGGAAACGCTTTGAAGAAATTCAAGAATGGTTGAACTTTTCTGATGAATACCTTAATAAGTGGAAGGTAATGGTTGTTTATAAGGATTGGTTCTATTTTTTTCCTCGCCTTCATTTTCTAATGTATTATGCATATTGTTTGTTTTTCCAGAAAGTATTGTTGCAATATTGAAAGTTCAAGTTCTTTATAAATTATTGCTTGGAAAAGGGATAATTTTTACAATAGTGATGGCTTCCATTTATTCGATGAGTTTATATTTATATCCTGTGTCAGGCTCTCTTAGAAAATGATTCTTTTGTATTGATGTTTATTCCTTTCCAGAACTGATTTGTATTGATATACTTGATGGAATGAAGCACTATATATCTTATACTAATATTGTGCAAGGTAGTATGGGCCCTTCCCATACCCACACACATGCACTCACACATACACATATACAAACACAGGCACACGCAAATGCACTGGTACACACACACACACACATATACAGTAAGTCCCCAACTTAAGAACATAGTGGGGACCGAGAGGCTGTTTGTAAGTCGATTTGTTTGTATGGCGAAAGTCGGGTCTCCATTACCTTTTTTCCCATTGTTTTAAAGTTTTGCGTACATTAACCCAATGGTGCCGGGGAAAATGAACAAAAAATGGGGAAAATATTGTGCCCACTTTCTATGTTTTTCGTGAAATGTCTGCCGATAGATGGCTCTGCTAGCGCCTGATTTAACCCAATGGTGCTGGGGAAAATGAACAAAAAATGGGGAAAATATTGTGCCCACTTTCTATGTTTTTCGTGAAATGTCTGCCGATAGATGGCTCTGCTAGCGCCTGATTTAAATGAAAATCGATGGTGTTATTTTTATCATAAACATTATAATTTTTATAATTTTTTTTAACATTAGTAACAGCAAAATAAGATTACGTAAAATATTTTGTAAATCAAAGAAACGGGTAAACAGGCGAGACGGGCGGTGCTTGTAGTTGGCTCATTGGTGATTTAGTACAAGTGTTGCCATCAATGCATAAAAACAATAAAACAAGTACTCACGGTGGGCATAGCACGTACGTACACGTCATACCCGGCACCAAGGGGTTAAGAATACCTGTAAATAAATCCCAATAAGTACGACATACCTTATACAGTACCTGTAATATGTAATGCTTTTAATATTATTTGATGGTGATTCACACAACTTTAATGTAGAAACATAATTTATTCAAAAAGAAAATATATTGTAGTGGTGATGGCTGGCAAACTGATCGATAAGATGGCATGTGGTCAGCTGAGCAGGGGAGAACACAACCAGGGCTGTCACACAACGCGAAGCCTACGTCCGTTAAACCGGGGATGATACCATGCCATACTGAGAAAGATCGATAAACATGGATAAATTAACATGGCGTCGATCACTGGAATTGAACAAGTGACTATAAATCTGGGATGACTAAGCGTCTGTATATTGTGGTCAAACAGCTGCCATGGTTACCGCTAGGTTACAGACTCGCATTTAGGTTACACATTTTAATGTTAGGGCTATGTCAGTTACATATATGAAAGCATTTTACAGGAAATATAAAACTGAAAACATTGCATGCTTGATATAAGAATTAGGAAACTCGTAAGATTTACCTTGTTCACTTGGATTTGTTTGACGTTTCTTGGCACTTCCACTGGCTTCACCGTTTATCTTTCTCTTCACACCCGACATTTTTGATGGATTGATGCACAGGTAAAGCGAATTATCGCATAAAAATTGGCGGAACATAAGGACACAGAGAACAGATGCTTTCGTATTTATGGCGGGAGGGCAGGCGACTGAGGAGAGTAATGCGCACAGCTGAGTGAGCGTGGCAGACTTGTGAACTATATTCGTGCCCGGGAAATTGGTTTGCTAGCATTTTTCAAAAAAAATTTTGGACTTTAGTATTTAAAAAAAAATTGTTCGTATGTATGGAATGTTCATAAGTAGAATGTTCTTAAGTAGGGGACTCGCCCTGCCTGCTGCCTGCAGTGGTAGCAACTCTCTCAGTAGCAACTCTCAGATTCAAACTTGGACTCACACTTCGTGAAGCCAGACAGGAAGCATGTCGACGAGGTTTTTCTCTTAATCCCTACCCCAGTAATATTGCTCATTCTATCACTTCCCCTACTTCCCAAGCTCCTACACCCTCTCCTAAACCTACCATCTAACTCCCTCTCTTCTACCTCCTACCTACCCCCCCAATCCCTTGCCCGTTGTTGTCGTGGGGGGGCTTAGGAGGCGGAGACTGGGACCCAATGATGGGGAACTCCCCAACCTTGGGACTCAGCCCTCGACTCAACTAATTATGCATGGTCTTTTTTTTCCCTTCCCCACTTTTGTTTCTGTCCCTTCACCAAACCCTTCTGCTATCCACCTCCTAAGGTGTGAGAGCCGTGCTGAAAGGATGAAAGGCTGACTTTGTGCCAGTCCTGAACGGCCTGAGGGAGCCATGGGCACGGTATTCCCCTGATTTAGTTATCTAGCCCTTACCCCTCAAGGGGACCCTGAGGGGTGGACTGCTTTTCATCCCCAACATAATCCAGGCTTCCCATGGCCAGTAATGAAAATATATCCCCACTGTTAGGGGCAATGAGGCTTGCCCCTTTATCAAATAGCCCCAACGAAGTAAACCCACCCTGATTCCCCGACCCCAGGCTCTCCTTTGACCACGGCTCCAAACACTGCAATAACTACCCCTTCACCAATGCCTACTAGTACAGTAGCCAACAATCAACCCTCAAGGGACATTTCCACTCTCCCAGCATGCCCAACTTCAACACCTCTACCCCCACAACCTCCAACATCAACCACCCCATCCTCCCTTATTAATACCTTACAGCCTTATAGCCCACCTTTCCATAACACTACCTCCATCAACACTACTCCATCTTCGTCACGCCCTTGCCCTTCTACCACCCCTATCTCTAAAACAATCTTGAATACTCTCTTCAGTGCAGCCAAATGGGACCGATTTTTCGTGATCCCTCCCACAGCTCCCTACTCTAACAACACCCTTCTCTTCCAACAATGCCTCCAAAAACAAGTAGGTAAAGTCTCTTTCCGTAGCCGACCCGACCGCTCCCGTCTTGTAACAGTAACATCTGAAAACCAAGCCATAGCATTAAAAAAACTAACTGACCTATATGGTAACCCCATCCTAGCAGAACCCCATCCAACCCTCAATACTTGCACCGGAACAGTCTCAATCTCACCAGCAAATTGCCCAATCTATGACAAAGAATGGTCAGATTGTGGAGAAGATCTACTTGCCTGTCTCACAGACTACGATGCAACATCAGTACAATGCTATTCCATCCCCCCAGAGGTCATCGAAAGAAACCCACTAACATAGCCAAAATTACCTTCCGTAGACATGAACTTCCCTTTAACGTCTACATAGGAGGAGAATCCCTCCCTGTTCGTCCATACCAACCTCCTCCACGTCAGTGCCAAAATTGTTGGCGTCTAGGACACCCAGCCAAACACTGCCGTTCCACAGCCAGATGCCCATTATGTGCCCAACCTGGCCATACCCGATCTAACTGCTCTGCACAATCACGCACATGTGCCAACTGTGGCGGCCCCCATAATGTATTTTATAGGGGCTGTCCCACCTACAAATTTGAATCTGAGGTAGCAACTCTCAGATTCAAACTCGGACTCACACTGCGTGAAGCCAGACAGGAAGCACGTCGACGTGGATTCTCTCTTACTCCTTACTCCAGTAATACTGCTCATCCTAACACTTCTCCTAAACCCACCCCTCCTACATCTAACCCCCCCACTAACCCCACCTACCTTCCCCAGTCAAACTCTTTTGCCATCCTAAATCCAGAAACTCCAATCTCTACTACAGATACTCCAATCACCACTACAACCCCAACACCTTCCCCTCTCCCTCCTCGCACTCCCCGTAACAGACAGAACAAACGTTCCACCCCCTCTTCCCCTACCACACAATCACCCCCACCATCCTTTGCCCGTACTCTTGAGACACCAGTCCTCTCTTCTCCCCCCTCACAAGAAATCCTTTATCCCCCAAAACTCCCCAACCAACTCCACTAGAAGAAACTATTGAAAATATTCAAGATTACTTAATGAAAACTGACACTCAACCTACAACTCCTGCTCCTTCCACACTCCAAGTAATTGCTGATATCCATCCTCCTCCTAACGATATCCCCCCTACACCCTACCCTCCTACCCCCTCCCAACACAGCCCAT